AAACAAGCAAAAAGAAGGTGTAACACCTCTGCCAAATTTGGAGAAAAATATCAATTGTTTTTTTTGAAAGCATCAAGAGTTTGGAGGAGGCTAAAAGAAAAGATTATGTTCTGTTAGAAGACCTTTAAAAAGCAATCTGCTTGATGAACATTAAGCACAAATCTTTGGTAAATCTGCTGTATCTAATGTATTCTTTCTCCATTTCTCATAAAAATTATTTAAACTGTAGAATATTATACCCTATGAACTAAAAAATATAGCATGTTTATTGAATGATCTCTATACAAAAAAATATTGTTTCCTTGTCTTTTTGGTAGCCTGTTGGTAAAGGATGGTTTTATACAGCCCAAAAGAAGACTAAATCAATGTCTGTAACAATTCAATCCTATTGATTAAGCAATTCAAATTCTTAGGAAAAAAATCAAATAAAGTTAACCTCCTCACTTTGCCAAAATATTGTGTTAAAAATTAAACTATAGACATTTTGATTTTTGATATATTGACAACATGCAGATAGCTCTCCTCATCTTTCCTACTTCAAGATAAACGCAGCACATAAGAAATAGATAGCTAATACATTGTCATGCTAAGTAAATGGTTGGGCTTAAAAGCCTCTGAAATTATTGCACATAGGCCAGCTGACAATCAGCAAAAGGACTAATGACAGTGTATTATCAGCCCATATGCAGAAGAGAGGCTCTACAAGTTAAATGTTAACTCATATAAATTAAATTACATATTGTCGCATGATTGATTAACAAAATCAGGCAAAATTACAGGCAAATTCCTAACATTTATTGATTTCAGAATAAAATTTTTGCTATTATTTACGATACAAAATACAGTAACTTCCTTTCAACATGACTCATTCAAGGGAAGCTCATAGACTGGCTTCAAACTATTAATCATGGTGGCATATAATTTTTCTCAGTTTGAAGGAGTGTGTTGTTTCTAAAAAAACAGCATTATAAATTTAGCAAAACACCCTATTGATTTAAGAAAAGGATGACATAGTCTGTTGTTGACTCACTGTCAGCTACAGCCAGAGACAAATCAACATATTTCCATGGAGAATGTCTCGTGCTTGCAGTTTACAATCAATGAGTAGGACAGAGGTGATAATATATGACACCTTCTGCTGACACATTCATTTTGTATCCTAATATACCTCTGAGAAAAGTGACAAATGGTTGAAAGCAGAAGCACTGACGGAAGGCATTTCTTTTCCCATCATGGGTCACAGGAAAAAAAAAAAAAAAAGTAATGGAAATAGTTATCCATAAGTTTTTGAAAGAGATGAATGGCTTAATATACCCTATTATTTGTAAAATATCATTACAGATGAGTAGGTTACTTCCACACACTACATCTAAAAGAAAAACACTTGTCTTGGTACCAAATTCTGAAATCTTTTTTCAACATTTGATTGTGTGATTACATTTTCTAGTATGTCAACTGCTATCTAGATGTGAACAGTTTATTATGTTTATGGACAACATCTGGTTACACATGTATCAGTGATTACAGGCCACTAGAACCCTTCCATTGCTATTATATCAGACTTGTTCTTAACAGAAGAAAAAAAACATGAAGACACAAGCAGTAAATTAAAAAAGTAATCTGAAGAAGGCCAGACAGCTGATCATGAGACGCGTCCTTGAGACCAATGTCTATGGCCACATATTCCATTTAATTTCATTTCAGTCATTTTCATCTTTAAGTCAAAACATATATATATATATTTTTTTTTTCCTAGCATGTTCTTTCAATGTTTTAAACTATGAACTGAGCATAGCTTACGTTCTGACAGCTAAAATACTACTTGTGGCTCTGCGCCGTGCTTTGCCGGTAGCCAGGAGCACTCCCAACATGACTGCTCCAGGCGGCCTGAGAGTGCTAACACCTCCCTAGAAGAGGATTTCAGGGCAAAGGAAAAAAAGCCTCCTGTGCTCTCCTACCCAGATGTATGCAGGCATATCACTTTTGTAATTACCACTGCTATTCCTACTCAGGGCAAGAAAAGACTATGTTTCTGCTACTACTGCATCACATTTCGTCTAATAAAGCAGGCAAGAATTGTGAACGCTTAAATGGGGCATGAGTGGTGGGATGCACGGATAGAGTACAGGCATCCCAAATAAATGTATGTGACTCAAACTCCAACACATTTGGAACTGACTCTGTGTGCTTCAGAGGAGCATGATCGTGATCCACAGCATGTGTAACACTGTTCAATTGCTTAATGCAATTCAGGTCTGAGAAAAGTATTTCAAAATCTACAGCAATGAAAATCTCTATTCCTAATAATTACAAATTCCTTATCAAGGTTACAGTACCAACTGCCTCTCTGAAAGGGGCGGGAGAGGAACAGAGCATGCAGTTCTAAAAGAAAATTAAAGTGGCAATTAAGTCTTAAAGACCAGTAGGAATAAATACTCTATAACCTGGCACATACACATGGCCTGGAGTAAATGATGATTTACTCCCTCTAAGGATGCATTTTTCAATTAACTAGCTCTGGAGCTTCTGGGAAATGTTATTCTAAAGCTTGATCAGCATACAAGCACTTTTATCTCAAACAGTTATGCTGGGCTTGTTTACCCAAACTGCAGATTAACAAAGCCAAAGATGCAGAGACCCTACAGCTTGCATATGCAGATTTTACCAGTCTTACACATGAAATCTTTCAAGTCTCACCTGTCAAAGCAACACCATACAAATGTGAATAAACTACTCCCAGAGCCAGGCCACACCTGACAAAAGTGCAGCTGCACAGCTGGTTTCAGAGGTCCACATCAACAGCCCTGGAAGCCAGCTTGATGTTTTGCTGCTCGTCAGAACTGGGGATTACAATCTGGAATGTGACTGTGCAGCCAGACCAGCCCGTTACAGTTTAACTACGTGTGGCTTGGTGCTGTATGTGCAACAGAATGGACTCAGCTCAGGTTTGACACTCTAGGGGGACTGATCCAGTTCCCTGCCTGGGAACAGGAACACGACTCACTATAAATCTTTGGAAATGGCCTAATGGCTGCTAGGGTATAGATGAGAGTCACAGAAGGTACACTCCAATTATCTGGGAGCAAAGAATGCAAAAATAAAACATTTTAGAAGTATGACAAGCAGGCCAAACATTAAGGGTAAAAAAACCCTGCTTTCCAGCAGTTATTTCATTGCTTTTCCATTTGTATTACTTATAAATTTCTCAATAGTATTTTTTGCTCTGAGACAAGATGTCAACTGTAGCACTTCTCCGTTTCAGAGCCCTCTTCCTGAAGCAGGCTACACCAATGACAACATATCATACAGTGTGAAGTATGTTCTCACTGTACCCCATTGCCAGAAGTGATATCTACCGCAGGGATCAGAGGAAAGTATCTGAAAACTGTAACTGCTACTTATATAGCACACACTTTTTGTGTTTTACATCTGTAAAACTGACCAGTCAAAGCTTGTCAAGAAAGAATAGCCATGAAAAATAAAGGCAACAATGAAAAGATAAAAAAATCAATCAAACAAAGACCCAAAAACCTAAACCAAACCAAAACAAAGAGTTCAATGCATATACTGTATGAAGGCAAGAGCATCAGAAGATGTCAGTATGAGAAGGCATACAAAACAGACATAGTAAATCAACTATTATTTTAAAATGCGTGATAGTTAAAGATGAAACAGAATGATCAGAATGAGATTAGACTGGGGTGAATCTAGTAAGATTGTGGAAACCTGGGAAAAAAAATTAGTCACACGGAGAAGGAACGAGAAACAATGTTACACAAAGACTCACCCAGAGTTGCCAGTTTTAAACCTAAATTGAAAGTATATGACCATTCACTGTAGGTTCAGTATGAAAATGCTATTTTTTTAATTTTGTGGAACAGAAGGAAAGCAGCAGCTTCTGATTGCCATCCACATCAGTCTAAACATTGGACTAGGAATAAATTCAGAAAACAGTGGATTCTTCTCATCCTATTTATGGCGGCTCTTGGTGAAACTCTTTTTTCAGTTCTTCAGCTGAAGTTCTTCAGCTCCAGTTTTTTCAGCATTTGAAAATATTTTAAAAAGGTTATTCAGTAACACTGAACATGAAGTTGAAACTGACTCAAATCAAGCAAATCTAAATGCAGTGATCGGTAAATGTTTTTCATTAACTAAACTGAGATGTGTAAAAAATACAAGCAGTGTCAATTACGCATTATTTGTTAGCTTTATGTTAACAGGATTACATTCAAGGAATGCAGTTTGCACTACTTCTAAGATAATGCCATTTTTAGGATAGCCAAAATGCTTTTTTAGTCTGAAGAACAACTTTTTTTCCTACATAAATAAGAAATTAAGTACACCTAACAATTCAATAAATATGACACCATCTTTATTTGGAATATTTTTCACTATAAATTGCTCTGCATATCTAATTTTCTGCTCAATACTTAACCTCAATGATCCTAGTAGCAAATTTCAAATTTAAAAAAAGGCAGTCTTGAGTAGATACTTTTCTTTTAGGCATCTAAATGTTATAAACTTTACCAGCAGCACAAATCGAAGACAAACTGGAGTCTTCCACCTAGTTCAGACTTCCTGTATTTGCACGATCATGAAAAAGTAACAGAGCCATCAAGACAGTTTATCAAAAGATTAAATAATGCTTAACTCTGCAGTGGCAATAAAAAACCCCCAAACTTTCAAAGAATAATTAAGTTTTGGGGGCACGTTAGCCTATACAACCCATTGTTTTATGAAAGTGAAAGGATGTTCGCTGTGTTTCATTTAAGAAGTGCTCTACATGGGCTTTGAACTCAGATAATTTATAAAGAGCTTTGATGGGTCTGTCATGTAATACTTAAATTGAAATACATTTTTTTGAGAATATTAACTTACACTCAAATAAAAAGAAGTGTTGCCAAAATTGCGCACATTTCAAATTTAAAATAATGTGACAATAAATATCTTTCATATCAAGATGCAGAAGTTACGTACAGTGACAGGAAGTATGCACTTACCTACATTTTGACGATGGATGACGGGAGTTAGAGCAGATTTAGAGAATCATACATGCTTGAGTACAATTTTCTGCTAGATCTGAATGCTGAGGCATCTATTCAGCTCTGAGAGAAGACAACAAAATGACCTTCCTAACTGGGTGTCCATGTTCACTGTACTGGAAAAAAAATTATCAGTTCAAGCTGAACATGATAATTTAAAAGGGGGGGAAAAAAAAAAAATCTGAAAAATTATCTTAAAATTAAATGAGCAAAACATGGCCATTACTTCTGTCCTGAGTGAAGACTGATTAAGTGCACCTCGTCTGACTGGTAATGAGTATGTGTTGGTCATGCATGAGATCTAGGATGTGATGCAAAGAGAGGGAATGAAAACCAGGAAACCCTCATACATGCAATAGGCAGGGAATTATGCACACTTATTATTAAGTCTATTTCAAAATTCTTAATAGAAAAAATATTCAATACTCAGAGCCAGCAAAAATTATTTAAGTTTTCTATCAGAGGGCAAGACATATTTCAGTGTAAAAATGGAATTTTTTTCTCCTGCCCTCCATTTCTCTCATGCAAGGGGGCATCAGTTACAACAGGATCAGTACGGCAATTTGTAGGCCTACTTCAATCCCTCTGTCCAACTAACAAAAAACAGAATTATTCCTCAGTCACAGCCTAGCAGAAACTCTCCCCCTTATGTTGTCAATTATTTCTACCTAGATGGTTGTCACCATCTACAACCATTGTGTGCTGCAGGTATTAACTAATTTCATCCCCCAGCAGATTAATGTTCACTCCTGGCCTCTTACCAACTACATTTTGTGTACTTCATTTTTCAGGGCTTTTACTTAGAAATCCTGTTCCACCAGTACTCAAACTTTGGCTAAAGCTCAAAACTTTATGCCTCTCAGCTGCCTTTCACAAAACTCTCAATGCCTAAACCACTCCAGCTTAAATTATCATTGTAAATGTCACCAAATTACCTAAATTCCTGTTTTTATTGTAACATCCACTCCGGATCTTCAGGTTTTCATATCTAGTAGCCTGAAATCCATAAACACTACACCTTTTACCTGATCATTTGGTGAATATGAATTTACTGTTCCACAAGTGTGAGTATCACTCATTCTCTGATACTAATCTCTGGTGTTTCTCATTCCTTTCCTTAATGGAAAACCTGATTAGCCAAGCTCCTGCAAGTCCTGACACCTGCGTACTTTTAATTCTTCAGAACAGGAGAAACAGCCGACTTTCCCCACTCTCTGACTCCCCAAATCTTACGCCATTTCTCCAGCCCCCTACTGAAACCAAGTATGATGCCTCGGAAATCTCGCTTGAGACCAGGGCTCAGAATGACCCCACACTTTTTATCTCCTCCGGGTTCACCAGCCTGCACCAGGGCCCCAGGCTGCCTCGACCTTCACCTCCTCCCGGCTATTCCCTTCCACTGTACTTTCTCCTTTCCCAAATTCCTCCCAGTTTTTGCAGGGATCCCTCTTCCTGTAGTTTTGCAAACTACCTCATCTTTCAGAGCACCAGCAGCATCCTAGCCTGAAGCCCCTTCTCTCGGAGGGGTCTGGAGAGGCGTCGGCCTCTCTCTTGCCTCTGCTCGTCAGAAAAAAAGCTAAAAAAAAACCCCATAAAAACAGGAGGCCCGGTGACAGCAGAGCAATTTCGGATTGGGAGGGGGGGGGACGGAAAAAACACACCTTGCGCATTCTCTAAACGCCGAGCCTGAGCAGCTGCGCGCCCTCCCGCGGTGCCGCTGCTCCTCCCCCCGTGGCCCGCCTCTCTACTGCGAGAACACTCTCGTGTTTTTGTTTTCCTTCCTCAGCGGGAGACGAGCAGGCCCTCCGCCACGGGCGGCGGGGACACGGGTGGGGGGGGCCCGGCCCCAGGGAGGGGTGGGAGAGGGAGCGCCTGTGGCCGGGTGAAGGAACCCCAGGCGACTGGTGACGAGCGCCGCGAACGCCGGCTTCCTATTGGCTCGCGGTCTGGCCAATCACGGCTCGAAGCGGAGCAACTCGCCTCCTCTCGTGTCGTCCCCCAGCCGCCCGCGGAGGCCGGGTCACCTGACCTTCTGTTTACATCCTCTCAGCTGTGGGGGCCCCGCCCCCCCCCCCCCCCCCTCCCCGGCCCTCGCACCGAAACCGGCGGCGGCCCGCGGGACCGGGGCAGGCGGCACGCCGGGGGGGGGGCACGCCGCCCTCCGTTCCCTCCTTCGATCACCCCCGCCGCGCTCCGCCCAGGTTAACCACAGCCACCCCGCGCGGGGGCTGGGGCCCGCTTGCAGAACGGGTGAGTGTGTGTGTGTGTGTGTGTGTGTTTTCCCCCTCCCTGTTAAAGGGGGGGGGGGGGGGGGGCGGGCAGAACTGCGCTCCCCGGCCGCGGTGTGCGGTGTGGGGGTCGCCGCCGGGCCGGTGAGTTGGGGCGGGGAAGCACGACCCGCCGGCCCCCTGCCCCCCCCCCCCCGGCGCTCCGGGTCCCGCTGTCCGTTGGCCCCGCACGCAGGCGCGGGGGGGAAGGCGGGGGGGAGGTTGTTTTCGCGCAGCCGGGACGGGGCGAGGGTTTGCTGCCACTCGCGTCTGCGGCTTGGGGAGGGACGGGACGGGGTGAGTGCGTGTCCGCCTTCGGCCGCCGGTTCCTCCTCCTCTGCCTGATCCCCTCCCCAGTGCCCCCCGCGTCCTTTCGCCTCCTGCGTAATAAATAATCTCTGGCCCCAAAAAAGGAGGGGGGGGGGTGGGGTGGGGGGGGTGGTGGCTGGCGTAGCTGCCGCGGTCCCGGGGCAGGTGTGAGGGGCCGGCCGCACCACGGAAGATTCCAGCTCCGGCTCCGGGCGAGGGGGGGTGGAGGCGAGGTGAGGGCAGCGCTCGCCCCCCCGCTGCGGCTCCGCGCCCTGCCTCCGCCCCGGGCCGGCCGGGGCTTTTTCCTTTGAGGAAACGCAGTGAGAATGAGAGCTTGCCTTTTTTTTTTTTTTTTTTTATTATTATTTTGCTGCTTTTTTTTTTTTCTTTCTTCCTTCCCCTCCTTTCCCGTGTCCTTTTAATCTCGGGGTCTCCGTCTTCCAGGCCGAGGCGTTTTGGAGGAGGCAGAAGGGGAGCGTGAGACGTTCTCTTCTGTTTCAAGAAAAAAAAAACCTCCGGTCTGGGGAAGGGCGGCTGTCCTTTCGGGCGAGGAGCCGCGGTGGCAGCAGCGAGGGGGAAAATACTTTGTTTACGTGAACGGAGCGTGCGAAAGGCACGGCAGCTCCGCCTGTCGCCCCGTTCGCCGCGGCGGGATCCGAGGAGGGGGGAGGGAGGCTGCCTCTGCCCCCCGCCTGGCCATAAACGCGCATTTTGTCTCTGTTTACACTGTGGCCTCTGTTTTGGCTGGGAGCAGCGTAAGGGGAGGAGCAGGAACTCGCTCCGGGGCAGCTGCCTCCTCCCCTCTCTGTTTTCTTTGTTGTTATCTGTTCGGGGGAGGCGTCTTGGGGGTCACGTCTGCTTGTAGCTGGGCTGCGGTTAACGCGATTCCTCTTCGGCCCCAAACCTCGGGCCGCCTTCTCGGTGTGTGCAGCAGGTCTTGTCTTTCCCCTGTTGTCGCACCGCCCCCCCCCCCCCCCCCCGGCAGTTGTCAGCGGCTCGCAGTGAAGTTGGAGGAAGGGGAAGGGAGGGCGGAGGGGGAAGGAATCTTGGCATTTATTTGATACGCAGTCAGCAGCCTGGGCCTGCTTCGTACAGTTCTGTCGTCTTTGACAGCGAAAGGGAAAAAAAGAAAAATCTCCTATGGTGGAAGGGAGGGGGGGGTGTTCATTTTTTTATTTTTTTTTTTTTTTCTTGGTCGAAGACTGAGGAAAGCATCTTTAGGGTCTGCATGAGAGGTGAAAGTACTGAACTGCTGCAGTGTGTGGAGAGTGCTTGTGTCCTTGCAGCACTTACCAATGCCCACATAACTACTGTTTTCCTAGTGCGTATTTTTTACTTCTGTCAAGTAAAAGTCAAGCACAGCTGAACTGCAGACTTTAACAAGGAAGTAAGTTTTTTCTGCTAAGGAGCAGTAAACTTTGAGACACACTCAAAAAAGAGACACAGGTAAGGCTAGTCAGCACTTCAGTGAATTAATGAAGATACCCAATCCTTCTTGACTGTATGTTGTCTGTATTACAGAGAATGCTTTTAAGATGCAAGATGCAAAAAATCTAATGCGTAAAGTTCGCAAATGATGAGAGTGTATCGTGAGAATGCCTTTGTAACCATAATTCATTATTCTTGCAAATTGATCATAATATGTGTGGTACGTTTTTTCCTCCCCACAGGACCCTTACCTTAATCTGGGCAGATAACTTTGGAAGAAATCAGGCTTGGATAAACAGAGCTGTCTTCTGCATAACTCCTGCCTGATTTACTGGGAAAGTTTGAAAAATATTTTGGATATGTAGGTGGACAAATGTGTGAAGGATCTATTGGTATTTTAACTGATTTGAGTGAATAAATATAATGATAGGAACGTAAAATGTACGTGAGTGAAGTCAGAGAGCTGCAATGACGGCTTTGGAGATGGAGGCTTAGATGTTCTTTACAGCAGTGAATGAAATGCAGTGAAGAACAATTGGATGTTGTTGGGAGGCCTGCAGTGAGGAGAATATCATGAAATCACAGAAACAGAAAAAAGTATGTAGAACTGGATGGCCAAATGTTATCACTGGGTCTATACAGGATTAGGTTCCTTCCCTGCATAATCTCCGATCTTCAGTCCAGAGTTCTTGTAAAATCTTTCTGCCTGTCCTGAGTGGCATCCAGTCTCCGACTTTGTCATGACTTGCTTTAGATATTTGACCCAACTAGTTTCAATTTTGCAGTACTCTATTTATAAATTTATGAAGTCTTGCCATTTTTATAGTCCTGATCTTGGAACATTGGTGATTTTTATTGCTCAGTCTTCTGTTTGCCTGTCAGTGACTGGCCCAAGCTGCAGCAGCTCCTTTCAGAGAGGCATCTGCTTAATATGAGACTCAGAATAGGACTTGACTACCAGACATGTAGTTTTCCATGACTCTGCTGGACCATACCAGAGCAGTCACTTGGCTGTGTTTCTGTGAACTTGAAGTGCGGTTGCTTTGAGATAGTAAGTCCGTATTCTGAAGCTAAAGGTAGTCTTAAGCTTAACCATGATACGAGTACAGATGGAAGTCTCTAAAGAACATGCTGCCTATGACTTTTTTTTAGGCATACTTTAAAGAAAAAACAGTAGCACAGAGATCAAATTTGAAGTTTCTACTGCCAGACACGGTTAGGAGTACAGTTGCTTGTTTGTTTTTCCCTAAAGTTGCTTCCAAAAGTCAATATAGGCAAGATAAGTTTTCCGTGCAGTGTTCCAGAAAGGTTTATGCCAGGATTTTTTAAGAGTTCCCTAAAACAAATACATTAAAACCAGTACTGATACAGTCAGGTAGTATGGGATGCTCATCCCAGTTGTCAGTACACGGTGAGAAACACCTGAGAATACAGGCATTGTTTCTGAATGAGGAGTGTCTTTACGTGTACCTGTTCTTTTAATTTACTGCTTTGTTCCTGTTTTCACCAGGGATGTCAGAGATCTGCTGGTTTACCCTGCTGAACTGAAGGTGATGCTCTGTAGCTGCTCATTAATTAGCTCTTAGTGTAAGAAAAGTGCCTTGAAGTCTACAGCACCTGGCACTCTTGAATGCAAACATCAGTGAATATTACCTCATTTATTTTAACGACTTAGAATGTAAATTCCTCAAAGCAAGAGTGGGAAGAATATATGTGCCACCTTGTTTTGCAAACGAATAATCAGGTATGTGACTGGCCTAAAGCATTCCAGGAATCTTCCGGTAGGGTCAGAAGTCTGTCTGTATGCTTCATCATCGCCAACCAACAAGTGTGGAATTTTTGTTGGATGCAGAATTATTTTAATGAGTCTTCTTTGCAGAATTTTGATCACACTGTCCCACTTCTTCCTTTTATGGAGTTCTAGGGAGTAAAGTGACGTAGTTTATATTAAATATTATGGGTATAATTACATTAAAACATTAGGAAATAACTACTGTGCTCCAATTCCTTTGGGACTTATTTGTGTGCACGGGATGATAATGAGAGCTTTCAGACCTGCTTAAGGCAAGCTCTTAAAACAGTTGCAGCTGCTGTGGTGTTTAAGAAAATTGGGCTGGACTTCTGAGCCCTGAAGAAAGGATAGAATTTGCAGCATTTTAGGATGCTGAGTATCATTTTATTGTAGGACTGGAAGATTAGCTGACTGTCATTCAGAACAGCGGTGTTAGTTCTCTGTCCTTTTTATCCTGGTACATCAAGCCAACTTCATGTTCCAGAGTTAGTGTTGCTACTGCAAAGTTGATGGTGGCATTAACTAATGACAAGGAGCTTGAAATCCTGATGAATGTGTGTGGATTCTTCTTAAATGTACTTCTGATCAGAAGCTTATTTGAAACATTGAAAGTAAGAAGTAAACCGATAGTAAAGATGTGTTTAAAAATGGCAGTTAGTCCTAAGAAACCTATTTATGAAAGCAAAAAATATTGAAAGCTGTATCTAGAGAACAACTGTGGTGTCAGTCACTTGTATGTTGACTGCAATTGGTATGTGACTGACTTCTGAATGAAATTTATCAGTCCTTTAAATTGAAGCACAAAAATATAAATTGTCCTTCACTACAAGGAGAAAACAGTGGTGTAGAAGTCATCATAGAGCAGTTAAAAAAAAAAAAAAAAGACCCCGAACTCCACAGTCTTAAAATAGTTTAGATGTGACATCAGGAGTCACCATGGTAACTCTCAGGCTGCAGATTCTGGTGTATTCTCATGTGGGGGAGTTGTAGAGTGGGGAGGTGTCCATGGAGCAGGAGTGAATTGCTCCTCTGGTTAGAGGGCTGTCATGTGGCAGAAAAAGACTTGGAGCCCACTGCTTAGAAGATGCATTTAA